TAGAGAATTATGTTTCTATATTTGGATGAGCGATTATACACAAAGATGACAAAGAGGAATGTCAAATTTTCACAAGAAAAATTTTTTTAGAAAATAATTTTATATTAAATAAGTGACTAAGGGGGGGTAGGGATCCTAAAAAAGTAATATACTGTATACTATTTTCTGGTATATTCAAGAAACATATGATCAAAAACCTGTATCAAATGAGAACTCAATAGTTTTATAGGGATATTAAGAAATATCGGTTCGTGGTACCATATTCAGTGGGTTATAACGAGCGTTCAAATAAAAACGTGGTCAAGTTGGTTCTGAAAATTTGGACGTAGGGCGTAGCGTATAGCAAATGAACTTAAACGTCATCTGTCAAAGCGCTATATCGCCGCTATCAATTTGAATATTTTCGTTTTAAAAAGCGTTTAAAATGGTGTTTTCTCAAGAACAAAAAGTGTTTATCATAGAGTCCTACTTTAGAAATGGACGCAAGATTGATGGAATATGGAAGTATTCTATTGACGAATTTTTCATAGAATTTCAAAATCAATTTCCCGGCGTTGTTGAGTACAAAATTTTTCAAAGGGCAGTTCAGCGTTGTGTTAATGTGATTCGTGAAACGGGCAGTGTAACAAGAAAAGAAGGAAGCGGCCGACTTAAAAAGCGGACTGAAGAATTAAAAGAAAATGTCCAACAAATAATGGAAAATGCGCCAAGAACTTCTGTACGTGTTTTATCACAAATGGTGGGGGTATCAGTCGGTACCTGCCACACAATGTTAAAAAAAGATTTGCGTTTGTTCTCCTATCGTTTAACTTGTCAGCAAGAACTTCATGAAGTTGATTTTCCGCGACGGGCTGTATTTTGTGAATGGTTTTTAAACAACTACGGTGAACTTCACAATATCACCTTTTTTTCTGATGAAGCCTGGTTTCATTTAAGTGGTTACGTAAACTCACAGAATATGAGAATGTGGTCTTCTGAAAAAACCAGATAACTTTTTTGTCGAGGGCCCTCTACACGCTCAAAAAATTGGAGTTTGGTGTGCTCTCAATCGAAGGAGGATTTATGGACCTATTTTTTTTTAATGGTACTCTTACTGCGCAAAGGTATAGAGAAGAAATTATCGCTCGTTTTGTTAACCAGCTGGAAGAAAACGAAATTACAAACTTTTACTTTCAACAAGATGGCGCAAGGGCACATACGGCAGGCGAGACGATGAATATGTTGAGGGAAGTTTTCCAAAATCGACTAATAAGTCTCAATGCTGAACATGAATTTCCACCGAGGTCATGTGATATTACGCCGTGTGATTTCTTTTTGTGGCCTTACCTTAAAAACACTATTTTTGAACTGCCTATTCCTGATTTAAACCATCTGCAGGCTCGACTTATAGACAAGATTCGTGAAATTAACAATACCCCGAGCATCTTAGAAAATGTCTTTAATTCTTTGAGGAACAGGTGTGAAAAGTGCTTGGAACAAGGAGGGGGACACTTTCCGCAGCTCCTTTAATTGTTTGTTATTGTTATTCTTTAAAATAAAGTTATATAGTCATTAACGTTATTGAAACTGACAGCTGCTATACAGCTCGTTGAGAAATGAGGTTAAGTTGGTCGCTATAAGCTACTCCCTACGTCCAATGTGTCGGAGCCAACTTCGACCACGTTTTTATTTGAACGCTCGTTATCTCCATTGACATCGCCATTTGTATAACAGATAAGTCGTCTAAATAGTCTTATATCCCAGGAGTTTATTTAGAACTTTTTTAGGACACCCTGTACAGAAATATTTACACGTTTCTGTTTGCATACTTCTTTCTTGTTTACCGCCAATCTACGAGTTTAAATATGCTTTAATTAATTTATTTGTGGAATATTTTGAATGTGTACTATATTGTAGGTCACATTGAAATATTATATTTTATAATTTTCAATCATTTTTTTGATTCTCTTACCACTGCATATTTTGAATGAGATCCAAATTATAGATCAATTTGATTATGATATAATTTTCAATTCTTTTTTTGATTAATATAATCATAAATTTTATACATAATGATACAGACTTTTATTCAATTTTTTAATTGCCTACTATTTCATTTACAATTCTAATTGAAGGTGAACAGTTGCTAAAATTTAAAATTATTTGATATCATGTACTTGTTTATTATTTTTTTGTCTCCAAACAGGATGATGAGCACTGAATTGGAAAAATACTAACCAGTATTACAGTTTTTCAAATAAGTGCGTAAAAAAATTTGTTTCAAAAAGCTGTTTATGATATTATGCTATTTACGGGATTTGATTTCAGTAATGAGATATAAGGTGTAATTAGGCTAAAAAATGTTTCAGTTTTACACACATATAGACAAAATTAATAATTCTTTATTTCTGTTTTGTTTCACAATTAAATCTTGACTGGTAACGATTAGTACGCACCTCAGGCGTACCAAGAAACATTAACGATTTCTTAATTACCGACAGGAAGAAGATGCAGCATCTCATGAATTAATAAAATCAACGATGGCACTGAATATCACGTCATTGTTAAACTTTGATTGTAGCTCAAGGAAATGCCAATTAAAATCATTCTATTTCCTAAGCACATTTTATTTTTTACATTTGTCACGATAGGTAATTCGTAATCTAAAGAAAAAATACAAAAATTATGTTGTCGGCTACACATGAATAAACCAACCCTTGTAAATTGTAAATTCTCTTTTTACAACGTTCAAAGCATGGCCTTAAAAATATAATTTTGTCTACAACTCATTAGACTTACTGAAAATTTTGCATGGACCGTTTTTATGTCAGTCAGTGTAGATTAGGAGTAGTTTCATATTAAATAACACTGTCTAACATTTTTATTAATATTTATTTAATTTTAATTTCCCACGATTAATACATAGAAGAGATAAACTATACAGTTATGAATATTATTATATGAACCAGAACATTCATTCATTGATAAAAATTTGCAATTAAGATTGCACGTTACACAAAATCTTACCATTTCCAATTATTGCAGTTATTCTCAACAGTCGAATGACTGGAAAAATTATCAACTGCAACCAAAAATCGACAGTACGTTAATTTGTTAATTTTTTAAAAACAAATTCGTGTCAATTTCAATTGTCGATTTTCATGATTTTATTGGCTATTTGCCATGACAATAAATTTCAGGGGAGTAGAATTCAATAATGATGATGTATTTTTTTTATATCTACTTAAATCGACTACTTATTAAGCTACAAACTCGTTATTATTATTTTTGAATGGAAACTTTGGTACATTAGAGTAGCAGGTACTGATAAAATTAACATTCAGTCAATTCGGAAGTCAAACAAATGAATGATTATCACTGAAATGTTCATAACGTGATACTATATCATTTTCTGCAAAAAAATCATGATTTACATCCACCTCTGTTTAAATGGGAACATTTTCTAATTACACATGACTTTGTCCACATTTTGCTCCATTCAAATATCTTAATAAAAGGAATAAATCGCAATAAAACCCGAATTATGGATCACCCTGTACAGCAATTTTCAAATCTTCCATAATTTTACTATTTATATATTTGGCAAAAATATTTTATTTTAAATTTATTTGTTTTGTTATTAGTTAAATTTGTCTTTAAAAATAAACAAATCTATTGGCTTTCCTCCTAAGTTAACCTACATCTCAACTAAAATTGTTCACTACAATGCTTTCAAAGTAACGAAAACTAAAATTAAACAACGTGAAACCCGTGGTGAAACTCAGAAATCAAGATTAAAGGTATCTTCACAATACCAAGACCAACTATGCAGGAATAAAATTCCTTCGTCTGCACCACCAAGCGAATATTTCATAATCTATTCGTGTAATGCTCACTATTTGTATCCGAAAATTATTTAAATTTGTCACAAGATTATATCGAACCATACATAATTCTGAAATCTTTCCCATGGTTTGCATTACTAACAATAAATGCTGTAGGAAAGTTCAATACAATATACATACAGGTATATGAATAACATGATTTCATACTGGATAAATAACATATTTTACTGATGTTGGCGATTGAAGAGCCGTTACTTGACAACAGCTGAACTGCAGATTTTAATCTTGATATCGGAAGTTAATTTTCTTGTAGTAGTTATAAACCCATGTATAAAATATATGTTTTAGATCTATTTCTCAAAAACATTGAATAATAGTTGGTTAAGATTCTTATTAACATTAAATTTTTAAACTTTTACTTATGAACGGTAAATTTTATTAAAAAAAAGTTCAGAAAGAACATCACTTTTGGTTGGAAATTGGTTAAGTAGAATCAAAACGGAGATCTCAAACTTTAGGGAATGGATATTCACATCAAAATAAATAAAAAAAAACGTAAATTGAACTTTTTTTTAAACAATTCCTCTGCTATAATGTTTTACGCATAGGATTTGGAACTTAAATCATTACTCAAAAACCAAAATTTTTCCAGTAGGAATGAATTCCATCTTGAAATCAGAAATAAATTTTGGTTTGTCAACAACAGTAATAGGTAGTACCTTTTGGAAATAACCATCAATAAAAACAAAAATAAAGTGTGCCCAAATACGACCAAAATTTTCGATTTCTTGATTATAATCATTACCTTAACCTGACTTGATTTGTAGGGTTTTAACCACAAATGGTGCATTCTACGCAAAAACTCAGGAGAGGCAAAGGTTTGGTTGGAAAACAATCTGAAATGATTGGTCAGAGTATGAAAAGGCTTCAATGTCAGTTCTTGAATAACAGCTCAAAAATCCAAATCCATGTTTCAAACATTATTGAAATAAGTATAGTTGATTGAAGAGTTCTAAACCACCACCCCTCCCCTTTTTACCTCCCACCACTTTCAATATAATTTGAATACAAGTATCTACACTGTGTCTGACTTTGAGTAATATGTGTTACAAGCATGAACCTTTTTATTTCTAATCTATTTTTCGAGTCGATAATTGAATCTATTTTTTTTTTCAGAATGACGATGTTGAGGTGGTTAATACCGATAGGGATACTGGTAGCAGCATTTCTAGTACTCCACCAAGTAGAGACCTGCAATGAGGCCGTTTGCGGAAGTGTTGTGAGCAAGTGTTTACTGACTAAATCCTGCAATTGTGATTTAAAAAATTGTACTTGCTGCAAAGATTGCTCCACTTGCCTGAGCCACTTGTACACCGAATGTTGTTCGTGTGTGGGTGAGTAAATTAATTCCGTTTAACTTATATATCCTTTTATTGCGCATTAAAGCCTCTGTCCTTTATTACTTTTAATTAACATTATAATTAAATTGGGCTGTCTCGCCTTGCATACAAATCGTATAAAATATGTAAGTATTTTAAATAATTATAGTAGCAGGTGTTTTGAGTTGATTAAGTATTTGCCTAATTACAATGTTATTGTTTATAAATGTTGCGTACATACATTATGTATTAGCGAAGATTTTGTTTGTTTAACATTTATTGGAATGCACTGAAAAAGTAAAGTACCTATTTTTATATTCTTTAACAAAAGTTTCAGTTACACAAAATGAAACAAAATATGTTCACAGACTAGGTCATAGGTTTTCCTTAACCTCACAAAATCGTCTAAAAATTGCTGATATCACATTTTGAGGTTCGAAATGCAGTGATTGTCGTCGACCTAAAAAACGGAGAAAAATCTGAAGTTAGTTTTCACACCAGCCAAGGTTATTTCTAACTAAAAAAATTCGCTTAAATCGCACTCGATATCAAATTTTTCAAATTCATTAAATCTAAAATGAAGCCCTACACTTTTTTTTAATATGATGATCTTAATTCTAAGTTAAATTAGTCTATATTAAGTATTATATATTCATGTTTTTATTATACTTTTTAAATAATTTTCTGTAAAAGGGGAGAAAGGTTGACATACACGCTTGATCACAGACTATTCGAAATAAGATGAAGATAACCATCTACGAAAACACTAAGACATTCTTGGTATTTTCATATAAAATTAGATATTTTTATTTATTATTATTTGACCGACCTTTATCTCTTGAGATATCCGAGTTCCCAAGCTTAAAATACCTTAAAGATATAAATATTTTGTTAGTACTTAAATGTTACTAATTTGTTAATTCGTAAATAAAGACTTAACACTTTCGCTAATATTATTTAAAAAGTATGCAAAATTTAGTATCTTTTTCTAAAATTTGTAAAAATGAGATACGTTTTTTTTATTTCCGTAAATAGCTGAAGTTATAGTTGAGGTTAAGGCATGAACCATTGAATAACTTTAACAATAAGCTAGAATCGCTAAAATCATAGTAGGTATTATTAAAAATATTAAATTAATGTAATTTGTACAATCCCAAGGTCAGGAAACACCTGGTGTTAATTGACAGATCCACCAATGTTAAAATATCAGCAAATATTAATTTTGTGCTATATAATCTTTGAATTTTAAATTTTCAGGAACACTTACCTACCTAATCATTTCTATTTACTTGTAATATAAATTATTCAGTAATAAAATATAAAAAATTAACAATTTTGCAATAAAATTAACAACAAATAGAAAAAGCTAGGAATGTTTAATAATTAGCATATTGTAAAAACAATTGAACATGTGGAAAATTATAGTTAATAAGCGTTTCTAATAATTGTTATTTTGCCATTTAATTAATGATGAGCGTCTCGTTTCAATTTCTAACGTATGAGACATCTGAAGCTCAATTGGAAACGAGACTGTAAAGTGAAGTGCAAATAGTAATTTAATTAAAGTTCAATTACCACGTCTGCGAAGATAAATAAAATAGTACACTAAAGATAAGAAACAATAAATATTTTTTCAGTTGTTTTCTGTGAATGCTGAAAACGTAATGATGAACTTATGAAACAACCCAAATTAAATAGAAAATTGTATGTTTAAAATTTCGAAACTGAATGAATTTAAATTGGTTTTTTATTATGTGCTAACAAATTTATACTAATACCAATGTGTTCAATTAGGTGTTAATGTTTCGTGACGTATTTTCACAAGATTCCAATTAATATATATCACGAAGTAACCACGATTTCATAATTCAACCATTGCGGGCAAATTGACTTAAATGGTTAATCATTCCCGAATTTTAAACTTATTGTATAAGTTGTGTTAAAATAATTGTTACCTATTACAAGTTATATCGGGTGCCTATAAAAATATTTTCACACGTATTACTCTCGATATTACCTACGCAATGTCTGGAAGATAATTATTATCTTAATAGAATTTATCGAACATAGATAGAAGGTATAGTATTTCCTATCTCAATTGAAGACTAAAGAGCTAGGGAGTATGTACCAGGTTCGGTCGCTACGCAACGCAATAACTCGGCATTAAAATATTTGAAAATATTGTCCCCATATTTATTTAGCCATACCCATATACAGGTCTGGTCGAAACGTGGAGGTGGTAGAAATGTAGTCGTTCAGTTGAAGAATACGCGCGCGGGCAAACGGCATACAAACCCAGCCGCACTGGGCGACTAGGCCTTAAATTTCAGTTGTTGACAAATTGCCTAGCAGTGCAGCCATGTGATTTTGGTGTGATTCACGTAACTTTAATTTAATAGACAGATTTGAAAGGCATTTACGGTTATTTTTATGTATAAAAAATGAGGTTAAGTAAAATTTCTTCCAGTACTTATTGAGACGATATAGCAGGCGAAACACTAAAATAATTTACTACTTACTTAAAAAAAAAAGTTAGAAAAGGCAAACATTTTTAGTAAAAACTGTATTTTTTTCATACTTCCGATGTATCATTATTCTTGAGTATCCATAGTCTGGTATAAATACTGATTTCATAATAGTAACGTCGTTAACTTATTTTTTTTACCAAAATAGTCTCAAATAACACCACGTAAAGAATACAGTATCATTAAAAATTTAAATTATATACATATTTGCATTAAAATTCGATAACCCCTTCCTAAACCTTTAATTTGATCTTTAAAACACAGTCATTATTTTAAATAATTATAATCAAATTTAAAAAATTACACACCACAGAAAAGAGACAAGCTGTCTAACCTGATTAGTTCCTCTGTTGCAAGATTGTTTTCTCGTCTACAGTGCTGACGCAAATAGAATGAATTTGAACAAAATATGTCCTTCGTTTAGTCAAAACTGACCTTTTTGGCGTTTTCTGTAGGAAGTTAGTTAATAAAATAATTCCCTTCATAAAATCTTAATTCATTCATATTTAGGTTTTCTATTAACGTTGATATAACCTAAGTTCAAGCATAAATTATAGTACCTACCTATCTACCTATTCTCCAAAAAAAAAAAAATTGGTGTCAAGTTTTAAATTACCTACAGAATTTTAAGAGATGCTCTCATAATTAAAATTCAGGAAGAGATAACTGATAACTTGACCTAAACCAGTTTTTTTCGTTCAAGGAGACTATGAAATATGATGTATTTGTTTCTGGTCATCCTGTGTATGTTTTTGTAAACAATTACTAACGCATATTCATGCTATTATTCTGTTGTTATAAGATGAGACGATGCGAACGGCATTTTGAAATATTCCCACAATTATTTTTATTTAACGATGTTAATTAAATTTTGCTTCCTTATCGCATATACAGGGCCGGAAAGTCCCCATGGTTCACCGGCCGTTACGTAAGAGCGATAAAGTAAGTCATAGAAATCCGTGTGATAGAGAAAGATGGCTATAATGAAAGCCTCTAATAGTCACCGCCCATTTCGCCCTTCCATAAATAAGAAGTGGATCTTATTTGTGGAAGGGCAAAATGGGCGGTGACTATTAAACGCCTTCATTATAGCCATCTTTCTCTATCTCACGGATTTCTATGACTTTCTTTATCGCTCTCACGTAACGGCCGATGAACCATGGGGACTTTCCGACCCTGTATATACTATAGCTCAGTATACAGGGTGATTTACAAACGGTGATCAAAAATTAATCCTCATATTCTTTGGTGAATTTTAAGGGGAGTCTTTCTGTAAAGTTTTTATCTAGGACGTTTCGTTAAAAAGATAAAGGGTGTTAACTTAAAAAAATAATTTTAGTTTTTTTACCCAAATAATTTAAGAACTGGAAAGTGAAATAATTTTAAATTGGGCATATCTATTTATGTAAACATTGTCCAAAATCTGAGGGTTTTTCCTAAAATTTACATGCTCCAGTGGGGGAGATACAGGATATCGGTGGCATATGTTTCTAAATAACGCCACTGCTTTACGGTAACAATCATGATATTTTCGGAATCGTCTTTCAATTTTCTACAAATTACTACTCTCTTATATATTTTTCGAAAAAAGCCTGAGTTTCAAGTAAAACATAAAAAACGAACTGAAAACACTTTTACTTACTTAAATGACATGACAAACACTAACCATTTGGTTATTTAATTGATTAAAGAAATTAATAACAGTTATCAGTTTAATGATTTTATTTGAATAAATGCTCAAAAATACCTCAATTTCTACGAACACAGGCACGACATCTTTTTAGTAACGAAAATGTAATTTGTTCCAAATTTATTGTGCTTGAATCTGATGAAAAGCATTATTTATTCTTTCTTTTAACTGCTCAGGTGTATTAATATGTTCACTGTATACCAGCCGTTTAACAGCACCCCACAAAAAGAAATCCAGTGGGTTGAGGTTCGGTCCAGTTCGTTTTTTAAGTTTGACTCGAAAATCTAGCTTTCTTCGAAAAACATAAGAGAGCAGTAATTTGTGGAAAATTGAAAGACGAATCCGAAAATATCATGACTGTTACTATAAAGCAGTGGTGTTATTTAGAAAAATATGCCACCGATTCCCTGTATCTCCGCCACTGAAGTATCTAAATTTTAGGAAACGGCCTCAGATTTTGGACAATGTTTACATAAATACATGTGCCCAATTTTAAATTATTTTACTTACTATAGTTTTTAAATTAAAAAAAATTAAAAATATTTTTTGAAGTTTAACACCCTGTATATTTTTAACGAAGTGTCCTAGATAAAAACTTTATAGGAAAGATCCCTTAAAATTCACCAAAGAATAGAGGTTTCATTTTTGATCACCGTTTGTGAATAATTAATGTAATTAAGTAATGTATAATTAATTATATAGAATTTTTTAGAGATGGTGTTAGAAATTACTTTGGAAATTATCATAGTAAAGAATAACCTCAGAATAAAATTAATATCGTTAACATTACTCTAATTGATATCGCAGACAGATATCAAACTGTCTACGTATAAATAAAAATTGAAAAAAAAAATGCAAATTTTCTCATGGAAAATTTAATTAATTTATAGTCTGTTAAGAATAAAAGTTATCGTGGATAGGCAAACATGTTTAAATCTCAACACTATATTTTGTTATTAAAAATATAAATCTTAAAGTGATAATAACACTGTTATATTTTTTTTGTCAGTCATATAGACTTATTTTTGGTTGTGATTGCATACTTCCGTCTTCTTTATCGAAGCATAATTCATGTTCCTTTTTTGTAGACATGTGCCCAAAACCAAATGACACCCCCAGTGTACTAAGTAAAACATCACGAGTGGAACTTTTCTACGAAAGTGTCCCAGCTCTGTTCAATGTATTAACAGAACTACCAGATCCTCACAACAGATGGAACAGTACCACTTTTCCGGTGGATATAGACATAAGTCAGTATGAACCAAAAAAGGACTTTAAAATTCACATGCGTAAGTATCTGAATAAATTAAAAATTGCTCTGAGAGCATTATGTGATAACATGGCATCGTTTAGAATGTGTTTTTTCAATTGTTCAAAAGTTACATCAACCGGTGAAAATTCATGCAAAATATTTTTTTCCATAATCAACTACCTAATAGACAAAATTAGATTGTCTTTGTAGTAATACGATCAGACATGATAGTGCAGCTTAGAAAACCTATATGGTTACACATTTAAATTTTAATTTTGTGACTAAAAATTTGAGATAAATAAAAAACCTTGCATCAGTTGATTGCAAAAAGAAATATTTTGCACCTCCTTTGGACTGCAACCTCTAATGTGACTCTCCATTTTGCAATTTTTTTGTCACAAAATAACTTTATAACATAACATAACTTTAATTTTCACCAACCACCACTGGTTACCATGCTATTCTGTAGTTTTAATATTTAAATATGAAAAAATTTTGTAGAAAAAGATAATTAAACTCTGCATAAAATAGAGTACTTACCTAAATACTTATTTTTAAATTAAAACTAATTATAACAATTTTTTCTATTAGTACAAACATAATATAGATTGCTTTTTATGGTTCAATGTTTTTGCAGCATTAACAAAGTTGGTTATGTACCATACACATATTTATGGCTGTTATTCGTTTTCAAATTTTTTATGGTTATGAACATTCCTCTAAGAGTATCATTTGGAATTTGGATTTTAAAGTAAACATGAACAGAAAGATAAAATGTAGAAGTTCTGAAACTATCTCTGACTATAAAAATATTCAAATTATTGCTTACCTTTTAACAGTCTGCTATGCATCATGCATCCCACCTATGAGAAATTGGGCATTGAAGAAACCATTAGAACACTACACTGTACTTCACTTTGTCTTTTCTATTCTTTAATTAATTTAAAATAGTCTGCACTAAATAGGTTACTCTCAAATTCTAGTCTGAACCATAGAGAAAATACAAATTTTTATCTCATCTGGTCTGGTATCTCATCATTAATAGAAAAAAGAAATGCCGAATGAAAAAACTTTTTAACTACATGTGTAATTAACGTTTAGTTCAAGTACCTACCTAGGTATATTTAAGTGTACAATTAATTTTATTCCAACTTGAGTTAATTAAATTTTATGTTATTTTTAAATGTGTTTGTTGATATATTTAAAGGGACTTACCTACTGAATCATATCTTTTTTCACAAGAAAAATGATAATATATTACTAAATATATTGTGTATTACAGAGGATGCTGAACAAGAAGTAGTGCCTAAGCAAAACATTATCACTTTTAATTGTACCGTAGCCTTTTGGTCACAGTGTATGAGTAGCCCCAAATGTAAAACAAGCTGCCGATCTATGGGAGCTACAAGTTATAGATGGTTCCACGATGGCTGTTGCGAATGCATTGGACAAAACTGCATAAATTTTGGAATTGACGAGAGCAGGTAATTGTTACTGATATTTATTGGCAGTAGTTTGGGCCCCTATACAGCATTAAAAATTATTCTCATTCAGATATTTCTTTTACTCTCCATTCTGAAGATTTTAACCCTACTAACAACTTCGTAAAAAATTGATTCTGTGTCTAGCTTGGCGTCTCCAGGCAAACTTTTATATACAAGATGTTTTTAAAATAGTACCGTAACAGAACTTCAAAAAACAGGAAGATTTTTTCATCGTTTTTTGATTTTAAATGCAGAACATCAAAGATGATTTTTTTAGATTTAAATTATATCTGTATTTATTTTTTTGAAAAAGCTATGAAATGCATTGAAATTTGATACAGATTTCGAGGGTATTAAATATGTCAATTTCTTAGTTTTTTACTATCTACTATACATAACCCTAAAAAAGTTATGTCACTGGGAAAATCGTAACTAACAACCTCAGGCATACGGTCAAAAACTAACATATTTAGAACCCTCAAAAACTTACTCGTTACAAATTAAATGCATTAAGTACACTGTTTTTTTTTTAAATACTACTGAAATTTGATTTAAAGAAATTGTCTTTGAGATTCTGAATATGAAAAACAAAAAACGATGAGCCATGATTTATAGCAAAAAAATTTAATTGTTTGATGTTCTATAACAGGCGCACATGCGGCCTACTGAATAATAATAATATGTCGCCCCTTCCCCTTCTCCCACACAAGTCTTCGATTTCTGGGCTAACCCTTGCGATTAGAATGAGATATAAAAATATTATTATTATTAAAAGGAGAAAGCAGTTATCTATAAATACCTACCTATACAGGCTGTCACAAATTCGCTTCTCACTACAGGGATCTCGAAAACGGTAAGAGATACGAACTAGCTTAAATGGGGGCAAAGTTGCGTAATCAGGGGACCAACATTATGCCTTTAAAAAATCAAGGCTAACATGATTAGTTTTCGAAATATTTGAAATCCGTTTTTGTTTATTTCACCCTTGTTTGAGGCGATACTGAAAAAAGGAGAACACTTTCTCATGGCAACTTTTTGCCCTCCATCGAATGGCATAATCAAATTTTATATGTAACGTTTCGTCCCTTTTCATGACCCCCCAACACTGTACTGCTTCAGCCCGAACCAGATTTATACGTTTTGTCTCGAAAAATTCATCTTCAGTGTGTTCGTTCCAAATTTATCTAGGTATTTTTTTATTTAGGTTTCTATGTTTCTTGAATTATCGTACACTCTAAGTGTCGTTAGACCCTGTGAAATTAACCTAGTTATTTAAACTATTACCATCACACGTTACAATAAAACGTTATTAGAGCTCATGCTCATAGTTATTTCTAGGTTTCTCGAGTGCTTAAAATTCAAATAAATTTTGATCTAATTTTTTTCGGGATATTCATACAAATACATCTGACATGATCTTTCACAGTTGCTGTGGCAGGTATAATAAATTCCGATCATATTATGCTTAGCTTCATTTCCAACAATTGCCAAAACGGAAACGTTTTTGAACACTTACTGTAATTTTTTAAAGTATAATATTCATTTGCAGTTTTGTTTGTAAACATGTAAAAAATGAAGGAGCATTTTCTTTATAAAAATTTAAGATTATTTTCTATATAAATATTTGGCCTTGCCCTGTGTATATAAATTTGGATCTTATACAGGGTGTTTACTGTTTATTAAGGACTTGTATAAAATTTAAAGAGCGAGTCTTTGACTAATTTTAAAATAAGATGTTCATATGAACATGGCTTCGCAACGGCTTGGTTCTTTAGTTGCAGAGCGTCCAAAATAAATTTAAGCTTCGGCAATTATTGTAAATGTTATTAACATTTATAGAAGTAATTTAGTCTTAGATTTATAAATGAGCTAAGTTTGTCACATCGCAATACAGTCAATAAAAGACACATTTTTTCACTTGTTTTTCAAAAAGTTAATGATTCAATTTACAAAATTCCTAAGCTTTCAGCGACATATACTAAGAGTACCTTTTGTACGTAAAATTGAATGGAGAATAGCTATGTTTAGTCAAAATTAACATAGAATGTGACACAAAAAAGTTATGGTTATTTAAATCCAGGTGCAACACTGCATGTGGCGCCTCCTAACATTAAACAAAAACTAAGTAAATATTTGAGTTTCTCGTCATCAATACTACCAGTCTCCCGAATTTCGTCAAATTGCCATGTTTAACAAAAATATAATCAAAATACCAAACAAAATTTTTTTTGGACGCTCTGTATCTTCTGCATGCTGCATGTTCATATGAATTTTTTATCTTAAAATTAGTCAAAGATTCTCCCTTTAAAGTTTGTAGAAGTACTTAATAAACACCCTTTATAATGGAACTGTGTCGTCTAATGATGAGTACACAAACTGTTGCGCTAGAAAAATACTTTAAAACAGTTTGAGTGTCAAAGTTGTTAATTATTTCTTTTATTATTTCAATTAGGTGTAGAGAGTGTCCACCCAAAGATGAAAATATCGAAGACCTAGATGAAAACGATTTAGATTATGGAGAAGACGAGGACTACAATGACAACGAAATGATTCCTGACAATTTTTAAAGGAACATGGAGAATATAAAAAATAACTATCCTGTATTATCGAATTTAAGTTTGATCTCCCATTCCTTTTAATTAAGGAACCCGGACTTGATTTAAACTTTGTATGTTCTTCATTGTGATTGAAATGTAACAGTTTTAAAGGATTGAGATATTTTCTGCGGGAAAATACATTCTTCACATCTGTTAATTTATTCTACATTGTTATAAGACCACTCAAGAAAAAAATATGTGTTTATCGACAGTACGTTTAAATAAAAAAAATTCTCATATTAACTGGTAAGGTGTACAAATTTAGTTTTATATTTATTTTATTAATTTCATATAGGAACTTAACAACTGTACAGTATTAGATGTTAATAATGTATATTTGTATTATATTTAAAAGTATAGAATTGTGATACTTTTAATAAAAACAACTAATAAATTAAAGTGTTTTTTATTATTACAGCTTCAAAAAATATATGAAATGCTAATGTGCCAGTCTGGAATTCATTAATAAAAATTATCTATATCACCTACTACATAGCTATTACACTACAAAAAAATATGATATACAGGGCCCTTGTTTTTCAAGCCTTATCACGGGGATCTCAGCTATTGTAAAAGATGTAGGATTGATGAAAATGAAATTAAAGGAAAGTTGCAGAATTTAATATCACAAATCGCTGAAAGTAAATTTGATATATCTTTTTTTGTATCAATGTCGCTGAAAATTTAGACTTTCATTGTTTATTTTTTATCTGTAAATTGTGCGTTTTTTTTTTGTTGAACAGCAATTTTAACACTAACAAAATTGTAGCTTGAACCACATCAAAATTTAGTAATTCGGCAAAAACAAAACGTGAACAATGTATATATATTATAAATAAGATGAAAAAAATAGATCTATTTAAAAATGCAATATGCCTTAACAGAAAAAATTTCTAAAAAAATTTGGGGAACAGAAAACTAAAAAAATATGGGTAGCTTTCCCTCCGATCTCGAAAAGAGTAAGTACAAAATATATATTTTTAAAGCAATTGATAAATACAGACAGGTATTATGAAGTTTAAAAGATGGAATGTAAGTATCAAATTAAAATTTAAATATGTCTAGGTATAGTCTTTCCGATCTCAATTGACGAACCAAGATGTTGGCAGTATGTACCAGGTTTGGTCGCTGACGCAGCAACTTGGCACTGAAATTTGAAAATCTTGTTGCAATATTTATTTAGCCATACCCATATACAGGTCTGGTCGAACTAAACTTGGAGGTGGTAGTAATGTATATGCCCAGTTGAAGAATGCGTGCAGGGGCAAACGGTGTATAACACAGCTGCATTGGGCGACTGGGCAATAAATCTCAGTTGTTGACAAGTGATTAACAAATTGCCTAACAGTGTAGTGCAGCAATGCGGAATTTGGTGCGATTCAGGTAATTTTAATTTATTATAGGCACCTTCTATTAATCATTCATATTACAATTGCGAAAGGGAGAAATAAGAGGGATATTTTGTTTCCTAATATTATTACAACATGGCATTTTGGAGAACTTTTGAAATGGAACAAAACGAAATTTACCATCAATAACCTGTAATAAAATTGTTTGAGGACATAAATAATTAAAATATGTTGTTGGCCAAATGAAAATAGAAATTTTCTACATATTTATATACAAATTATTATAATTTTTTACCTTTAGTAGAAAACTTTTTTAGGGACGCCTATGACTCATTAAATTTTATTGCTAGGCATTTTTATATATGTTCCACTGACTTCGGAAAGACTAAATTATGATGACAATTTAATTCCATGAAAAATAAATAAAATACCTGAATGTATCTATCAGTTGATTATTAAACAAATATATTTTGCACATACAAGGTGTCCCTTTTTAATGTACCAGGCCGCATAATTTTTTAATTCGACTTTTTTTTTTAATTTCGACCAAAAGTAACCTGGTTTGGGGGAGGTCGAATTAAGAGGACCTTGAAGTCAATGATCAGTCATTTCAAGGTTAAGCTTGATTTTTTTAAAGGAAACCCATATTTTTATTGCAGACTCGTATTCTGCGGGAAAAAATACGCAACTTTTGAATTAAACATTATTTTGAAAATGGTTGGTTCTCTCGCCAGAGTGCGCTGTTCTATTTTAATTCTTACGCTAATACCTCAGGAAATAAGAAGGATAGTGAAAAATATTTCCAACAAAAGTTGTCAGGTTTCGGGGGGATCGATTTACCATGACCTTGAAATTAACCTTGGTCAATTATCAAGGTCATTTTAAGGTCAACCTTGATTTTTTACATGGAAACCCATATTTTTATTACAGTTTCGCATTCTGCAGGGAAAAATACATAACTTTTGTATGAAACATTTTTCTTGAAAAGGCTTTCTATAATAAAAATATGGGTTTCCATTTAAAAAATCAAGGTTGACCTTGAAATGACCTTGGTAAATGACTTCAAGGTCACCATAATTTGACCCCCTCGAAACCTGATAACTTTTGTTCGAAATTTTTATTTTATAAAAGTCGAATTAAAAAACTATGCAGCTTGGTACATTAAAATGGGACACCTTGTATATGAGCAATCTTTTTTAGGTTAGAGAAGGGAGAGCATAGAACCCTTATAGTAACTAGTATTTTACACCTATTTAATTTAAGGGTTGGTAGAATTACATTTAATTTAGGAAAAATTAGTTATTTATTATTTCAATTGTATTTTCTTCATGTGCTCAAATTTCTTAAATGATTTTTAACTTGAAATATGTAAATAATATTATCTAAAGTCCTGCATGAATAAAAACTTTATCAAATAAAGAAAACTTAAAATTCCTTAAGAGGACAAATATTTAAAAAGTGCTCTGATTATGAGCAAGTTTAAAATGATTCAACTTTTTCATTGTCCGATTAAAAAATGAACTTTAAAATTTTTACTTCGCCGATAACTTTTCAACATGTCATTCATAATTAAATTCCATTACCTTCCCGAAATTTATTATCTGCAACTATTTATTTCTGATATAATGTGAGTTTTTCTTTGTTTGAGTAATTTGTAAATTGCGAAAAAATTAATTAAACCAAGGATTGGTTTAACTAAGCCAAAACGATTAGTCAAAAATTTTAATTAAACTGTTTCTGTTTCCTAAGAATTTATAACAGTGATATTTGACATAATTTATTTGGTTTTATTTAGTATGAGATTTGGTTGATCATAAATAATTTCATAAAAACAACCCTTTTTGTCAAAGATTAATACAATTTTTTAGTTTCGCAGGCAGTAGAACATCTTTCACAATAAGGAAATTACCTATGACAGAACGTGAAAAACAGACTTCAAGCATAATATCTGCTGATTCTAAGCACATCCTATATACCGTGTGTTCCAATTTATAGGTGTACATGTTATTAACATAGTAAGTTCAAAGCAGATTAAACTTAAATTGTATCAAATAGATCCTAAGAATACGGAATGGAAGAATGGAAACTATAATTATCTTAAAATTGCAAATTCTAAACCTACTACTGAGCCAATTTTTTAAACATATCAGCTATTTTTTATCTGTAATCTAATAATGCCACTTTATTTTATACCCCTTAAAATGCAAAAATGTCTATTTTTTAAATTTCTATATAAAATTAAAGAACACTAAAATAATTTCATTAATTTCAACAATTTTGTTGTATCGTTTTATGCATTTAATTATTTTTTAATATTAGAAAAAGCACAATTTTCAATCCCACAATATCATTCATTAAAAGATTTATGCTTTTTTTCAATAATTCTTTTATAATTGAAAACAGTTGTAGTCCATTCCAAGAGGTGTAACATGACGTTAATAAATTTCGGATAAAAAAAAGTAATCCGTTTTAAAAATTTGTGTAGTTTTGTATTTTTGAGAAAGATATAACAAGTGTTTTTTCAGGGTCTATTTAATGAAAAGTAATTGCACTCTTTGTTTATTTATTATGTTAATACTTCTACACCTAAAAATCCAAACATCATATACATACAACTAAAATTAAATTTTATGAATGAAATTAATTTAAATAGGGTTCAGATAATTGGTCCCTAGATTATCAAACAAAGATTTTACTTTAAGCCCACCACAACTAACAAAGATGCACACAAATATTTTTTTTAATCTAAGATTAGAATAGAATAATGGGATACTTTCCCTTAATTCCTACACTACGAAAATGTTTACGAGGGAAAAATAACAGGACAAAATTCAACACATGCCCTGTTCTTGTAGTTCAGGCTTCTCCCGATAGACGGCCTTACGTAACCCCTCCTGAGTCAGTCTGCAAAGTGGCGTTGCTTGAGACGTTGTAGTGAGCTCCTGAGGCAGTTTCCGTGTGACGACTATTTCGACCTTTTCGATTTTTTTAAAATGGTTGATGTTCCATAACACCACGATTGTCAAGACAGTTCTCGTCCACTTTTAATTGTTAGTGTTGCGAGAAACAACTACTCCGAGGGCTATATGCCCCTACCGGCAGTGAATTATACTCGCAACACCTAGTGCAACAGCTAGGGTCGTTCGTCAGTTTAATCCACCAGGCACAGACCGGTTTCGGACTTATTAGTCCTCATCAGTGTGTCATAGGTGAGATAATCGACGAACGAACCAGCCGTTTTGCGTCGTATCGTCACGACAAGGAAATACATAGTACGTGGGAGCGTACACTTTCAACTGATCCAATAAGTCACGGCAAGCAGCGACTGGAGCCGCCTTTTCATCAGAAGTCAACAAGCGAGAGACGAATTTTGCTACAATTCTCATTTGCTCATCTTCGTCTTAAATGCATTGCACTGAGCTCCACGAAGGACCAGATAACTCAGCAAGTACATCAATAGTATGCCTTCTATCCTTGTACACAAGCGCGCCAATTTTTTCCACATTTTCATAAGTTCTGGAGGTAGAATGTTGACCCGAGCGTTGAATGTCTTTGATCGACATATCAGCATGTTTGAATCCCAAATACTACTCATACACTTGAGTTCTTTTCAAGACATGTCCTTTATAAGCTGTAGACAGCAAATCAACCACGTCGGAAGCACTTTTACTGAGGTGAAAACCTAATTTCAATGCTGTACGTTGTTCTCGAATATTAACCATTTAAAAATCGAAGAGGTCGAAATTGTCGTCGCAGAAGAACTGTCTCAGGGGCTCGTTACAACCTTCTCAAGTAGCAGACTCACTCAGGAGGGGTTGGTAAACCCCACACATAAAATTATAAATGCTTTCATGTCATAGTTTCATACTTAGAAGTCAAAAGAAAGTATCCCATCAATGTCAAAAATATAACAGAAACGTATTCTTCACTATACATTTTAAGGGCAGTCTTAATAATGGTCACATATCTTATTGACATATATTTTAAACTATCTTTAATGTAATGCCAGCACTACATTAGATTTATTTATCTAATTGTTAAAGTTAAGATTATATATCTGTTAATTACCTACAGTGTTGACATATTGACTATCATGGTGATAATTTTGAATAATATAGTCTCTGTCTTAGTATTAAAAGTTAATTAAATATAATTACAGCAATGTAATATTTGGATTTAGGAGACAGCATCCATGTTAGAAAATTTGAAAAAAAATGTTTATGAATGTATTAAATTACTTTAAAGAAATTATAAGAAGCACATTTTTCAAATAATGTCAGACTCTTATCACTGAAATAAACTGAAAAACAAAACCATTTAATACTTGATATAGTTGGGTTAACTTTACACACTTTACAAACCTTTTTTAAACCGCGAAATATACAGGGTGCCCAGAAAATGGTGGACAATCTTTCAGATTTGTGTAGTTCTCACAAAAATAACGCCACAAGTTTATATAATTTCTTTTATTCGCTCACCTTGTAGAATACGTAACGTTTCAATGTCATTTTACATTATTACGATATTTGTTTTGCAAAAGGAAGAATTATCGTGTTCAGATTTCTATTACTATTCAGACATGTCGGAAATAGTATAGTATCTTTATCATTAAACGTGTTTAACTTGAAAACAGTTTGTCTTATCGTTAACAAAAAAGCATATCTTTTTGACTTAAATCTGTAGGAAAGTTATAAAATGGCGAAAAATATTCAAAAAGTAGGTCTATACATTTTTTGAGTCCGAGGGTGTTTTGCTTTCGCGATCCTAAAGTAGTTATCATTAAATTGAATAGATTAGTAGGGATCGCCGCAAATAACATACCTTTTACCCAAACATTACTCAAATTTAATGAAAAACAAATAAATTGATTTTCAACTCTCAACTTCATGATCTAAGAACTACAGAATGGGGCTGAATAAAAGAAATTTATATAAAATTGTCATGGCCTACCCATATCCAAGAAATTGAACACTATTCCCTGTATATCCTAGATTTCAATATCTTGGCATTAAAAAGGTAAATAATAATACTTTTAAGTACTAAGACAAAGACAGTTCAAAATATGAGTAATAAAAATTCAAATAAGGGATAGCTATCATAGTATATACAGGGTGTTTCAGGATTAAGTCGATATACTTTGAGAACATGTGCCTCACATTTTAAATAAACAAAATATACAGGGTGGATATAAATAAGACCAAAAAATGTAAGGAGCGATTCTCTGATGAAAATTAATAGGGGTCTTTGGTATAAAATTTTTTGAAAAACTTTCACCTGAAAAGTAATGTCCCTCCAAAAATAAAAAAAAATGTGTTTCTTTTTTATCTTCCATGTATATCAAGCTAAAGAAATCAAACTTGGCGAACATTATCTGCCAAAAAAACTACACTTTTTGAAATGATTTCAACCCTGAAGTATTTGTGTAAGGGGTTGAAATAATCAACCATTTGACATTTTTTCTTACAATTTTTTTTCAATAAAATTTTTTCTTTAAAAAAATATGTCTAAAAAGCCTCATTTATTTACCAACTTTTTGATCTCCCGCTTTTTTGAAAAGTTAAGGATTTATGGGAAAAAAATGAATGTATTGCAATGCATTTTTAAAAAGATGAGCTGTTTAACGCGAGTGTATTTTGCCGAAAATGTCATAGGGGTTGTTTATCTCAACCCCTTACAAAAATACTTCAGGGTTGAAAAAATTTAAAAAAGTGTAGTATTTTTGACAGATAATGTTCACCAAATTTGGATTCTTTAGCAATGTTTTTTTTTGAAATTTTTGGACGAGAACTTTTCAGGGTTTTTATAAAAAATTTATACCAAAGAAATTTTCATCAGAGAATCGTCCCTTATATTTTTTCGGTGTTATTTAGACACCCTGTATATAAATATAGGACCAGAAACGCTTCCGTTTCCGATATAGGGTATTAATGATTCCTGAAAAATAATTATATTTCTTATTATCTTGAAAGCGAATAGAGATATTTAAGTAAAATTTGGTGTGACTTATTATGATTAGATAGTTTGCCGCAATTTTTTTTAGTAATAAGTATAACTAGACACAAGTGGAGGAGGTACGATTATGTCATACGATTAGTTCAACAAATATAGTAATACATATCCGTAAAAAAATGTGAACTAGTACCATCTTTGAGCATTCTATTATGGATAAAAATTGTCTTGGGTTTTTCCCATATTTGCTACCATTTCAAAGCAAATTCAGTTTACTTAAATGTTTATAAACGTTGCTATACTTATTTATTTCATACCACTACCTATTCACCCCTATTCAATTAAATTAATCATAAAGTACCACCAAATTTAAGTAATTAAAGTACCTTCAAGATATAAAAAGGTATCATTATTTTTTTGAAATTCTGAACACCCAGTATCTCGAAAACTAAGCATTTCCAACCTCTATGTTTATATGCATATTTTTTTACTTATTTTGACCTGAGGAACATGTCCTCTATGTTTGTCGACATAATTCTGAAACACCCTGTATAATAAATCGCTTGTATAAAAAAAAAATCTGAAATAAATCTAATAAGTCGCTACTAAAATCTTGCGAGTAGGACAATGAAATATCCATATAGAGTACCTATACATAAATGTTATTAATAAAGGAGAAACTTGATAAGGAACCATTCGAGTTATATTGAAGAGATCGATTTTTTTTTTGTACATGTTGAAATAATTTATTATTAAAAAAATATATTTTACTAAAATTATAACTTACGTAACTATAAATGTTTTGTTAAATGACAAAAATACGTATACAAAATAACAAGTTCGTATTATTTTCTGATCAGAGATTCAGAGATGAGATAATAAAAAATCGGGAAAGAATTGTATCGATTGTAACTCATTAAAATTACATTTTTTAAAATTATTTCTCTTAAGAATAGCTCAACATCCTGTGTACGCTAGATATGAAAAAATAAAAAAATATTCATCTATAATGGAATCAACTTAGAACCACATACATGTCTAGTCTATTATGAGCATTATATCGGGGTATTATTAATACCACTGAACAGCAGCAGGTGTGTAAACGTACAATTTGGTGTTACACATCGTTGGAATATGTAGACATAAATTCATGGAATACCAACATTTAGTTGAATATAAAGTTGTATGGTGACTGCATATTAGTGCATATCTAAAATAGTGTAATAGAAAATTATTAATATGGGGTGATTCAAGACAAATGCCTAATAAGGGTTTTTCAGGAAATGATCAAAAACACTAGTACATATTTTTTTAGTTACCGGACAACAGGCTTCAAATGCACATAAATTTACCTCTCACAATAGGTCAAATCTAACAGACAATGTTTAAACAATTTCCATAACCAGTGATGTGGCAACTAGTCGGAATATTGTTAAAGGGGGAATATCCGAGTAGAAAAAAAAGCTTTTTCAATTTTTTTCGCTCATCTTTACGAATATTGTGTGTACATATTGAAATTCCAATAATCATGTAAGTTATTGGCAATTTACCAGAATGCATCAAGGTAGCAGGAAACACTGATCAACACTACGAGATTGAAGACACGGATCGCAAAGTAACCCATGAAGAAGGCAGTCACGGATCGCTGCAGAAGATGCTGCCAGTACTGCAGAGGCCTACTCTATGCTCCAGAAATTACACATTAACGGTAAAGTAAAAAAAAACTTTTCTCAGTGTGATATTATACAGGGTTAGTCAAAACTATGGAAATCCCCACAAATCTCAAGGGGAAAGCATTTTTGTGATAAATGGTGTGGACAAAATCGAGCCAGGAAATGGAAAGAGCATAAAATTCTGCATCCGAATATGACATTGACCGTGACCTCAAGATCAATGGTCAAGGTCAGTTCAAGGTCAAACGTTGATTTTCACTGTATTTTTTTAATTTTTAACTACGGAATTAGGAGTAACAGTCTTTCGAGTAGACACCTGATTGTACTCCTTAGTGACCTTGATCTTGAGGTCAAGGTCAAAAGAACATGTTCAGGTCAATAGTCAAAGTCAGGTAGAGGTCAAATGATTTTTTTGGCTGTCATTTTTTATTTTCGACGATGGAATAGAAGGGACTCACAATTTTTTAGTGACACCAAGATCAATGTCATTAAGGAGTACCATCAGGTATCTACTCAAAGACTGTCACTCCCTCTGATTCCGTACTTAAAAATAAAATATTACAGTAGAAATCAACATTTGACTTTGAACTGACCTTGGCCATTGACCTTGAGGTCGCGGTTAATAGCATATTCGGAAACCGACTTGATCTTGATATGACCTTGAACCTCGACCTGAAGGTCAAGGTTACCATCGGATGTGCCGTGAATAATGCTGAGACTTTTGTCCTCACCATTTATCCCAAAAATGCTTTCCAGCTAAGATTTTTGGGAGTTTCCTTACTATTGACTTACCCTGTATATTATGTAATTCTTACATATGAATTTTTTTCATAAATCGATTTTTCCAAAAGTTTGGAATATAAAGAATATCATGTATGAGTGTTATCCTGATATTTCAAGAGTTGTAAAAGTTATGGGCGATTTACCGAAAAGGTGACGAGCGACCAAGTTCCCAAGCACGACAATTCTTTGCCAAAAGTCGAATGCGATTGTCTAGAAACATATGAGTACTATACATAAACGGTCCCCAAATTCAGAAAACGATTTGACCAATTGGTTCCAAAATTTGACACAATATTTTCAAACAGGTTTTCTACTTCGAAACATAAGATTTTTTTTCACTTCATTATTTTTTTTTATCAGAATCTAAGGTAAATGAATCCAAATTTCAATTGGCTGCCAATGTGAATTTTTTTTTTTAATCCTACGTTGCTAAAGGCATCATACATTACATTTTCAGAATCATTTTGAAATTTTTGTTATAGATCAACCAACTGTATGTAATTTTGGGAACCTCAGACTGTGAGAGCGAGAATTTTCTACACTGACCATGACAGCAGCACTCCTAGTCAAGGAATATTTAAAATAAAATTTGTCAGCATACCTCAACATGTACACTTTCGAACAAAACAAACCCTGGATAAAATAGAATTTTTGAGATGAGAATTCAAAAAATTCACCTATTTTTTGCTTTCTATTCGGGTGTTCCCCCTTAAACATTGACTATTATCACGAAAGTCAACAAACCAAGCTAGTAGATAATGTTAAAAAAAAAATGTATATGAAAATAATGGTTAATTGTAATATTTTACAGAAAATATTAAGGAATTGAGTCTAGAAAAATATATTAATATCATTAAAATCACGTCGCAATGTCAAATACACCCAAAAACTTTGAATGATTCAGGACTTCAACTATTAAATATTAAACTCATTAAATTTTGATTATCGTAAATGAATATACAGGGTGTCTACAAACTTAGGGGATTTTTTTTTAGGTAGAATAATAAACATATTCAATAATCGAAATTGTTAAAACTTATTGAGAACCTCTGTAATTGTGTCTGACTTACATACTACATAAACTAAACCTACCCTACTTTATGTTTTTGAGGTCGCTGAATCTGGGGTCAGTTTAACGTCATCATGTGAGAATTTTCCATAACCTCAAAAATTAAGCACAAAAACCCCAGAACACAAAAACTATTTAATCCACAATATTCCCATAACCTCATAATCCGATCATCCCCAAAACCCATAAACCCCAAAACCCTATAACCCAATAACCTCATAACCTCCTTTATTGGTTTCGTAAAAATGAGAAAATCAATTTTCAAGATTATGGGGTTATTGGGTTTTGGGGTTTATGGAGTTGAAGGATGATGGAGTTAGGGTGTTTAGGGGTTATAAATTAATGAGATTCGCTACATGTCGAGAAACAGCACATTGACTTAGACCTCCCGGTGTTAGAGACCCAAATCTCTGTTGCTGATCGGGTTTGGAGGTTATCGGGTTATTAGGTTATGGGGGTTTTTGGGTTTATGGGGTTTGGAGATGATTGAATTATGAGATTATGGGGTTAAGATGCTTGGAGATTAAATAGTTTACATGTTATGGAGTTTTTGGGCTTAATTTTTGAGGTTATGGAAAATTATGATGTGATGGGGTTAAACTGACCACGGACTCGGATTCAACAATCCCAAAAACATAAGGTAGGGTAGGTTTGGTTTCTGAAAGCATTTTTTCAATTTTTTTTGTGGAGCTGTATTATTTTTCTAGATTATTAGTTTTGAATCTGTTTTCTTCTTGTAAAGGGACAGTGCGACTGAACCACTGGCCCATCAATAGAGTAATAATGAATTAATGGGGATTGGGGTAACGTATGGAAAGACTGATGAAAACTGGGAGATAACTGAACATCGTTATGTTCAGCAATTTCCAAACAAGCATGCCCAAAACCTGTAAACAGAACCAGTGAAATCAGCGGTTCCAAAACAGTTGTTGTTTATCAGTGTGGTCAACAGGTAAAAAAATATTTGATATGCAACAAAAAATTTTTCAATTGAGTTTTTGCACCTAGATTTACTTACTCTACAAATATCTTTCCCAAGTTTGTAAATACCCTGCATGTTATTGTCTTTACGACAAAAAAATGTGTAATGATGAAAATGTTCTGAATAATTTTAATGTAATCAATAAAATGCCAATTACTTACTATGTCGGCTTCGGGAAAAGGACGCTACCGCTTTTTTCTGTCGGTGGATCATCGTTATCGCTATCGTCTTGCGGTTCTTGAGATTCTGGCAATCGTATGAATGGTAGGTGTTCGCTGCCACTCCACATGGAGTACAAATTAGTATGAAGTCTCATGGCCTCCTACAAAATTAATAGAAATTCGAAACACATTTACAACTTTAAATCAACATTTGTTTTCGTTTTGACAATTTTTACTACGAGGACTGTCCAGAAAACAAGTTCTAATGAATTTAATTAAAGTAAAATATTTTGCTTATATTTCTATGCATTGTCAAAAACTGATTTTTTTAAAATTTGCTGGAAAGGCCCATTTATAAACTGCTTATATTTTAAAAGCCTTACTGGTCCACTGGCTTCGCTTGCCGATCCCCGTTCGGAAGAACTGGTCGTTGAACGGCTGTGAATGGAAAGACAAGAGGAAGAATCAGTCGAGGAGCTGCTTTTCCTGGAAGTAAGAGGAAGCCCGGGTGGAAAGATATCATAGTGTTCCGTCACGGACATGCCACTAGCGTGAGGAACATCGATGGACTGCCAGTTGCCCCTAGAAATACTCCCTTAGATGAACCAGAAATCATTATATTATTCTAAAATCCATGCTAAATCTCTTTGTTTAATACAGGGTGTAAAAGTTTGACTGCTATTACTTCAGCATGAAATAGAGTAATCATAAATGAACAAGAAAGTTGTATATTACAGGGGTGTAAGATTAACAGTTTTCAAAATACATCGAGTATTAATATTGGGGAGTTTGGGGAATAGCTGGTGCATACCATGTGCGCAAGCGGCAGACTTGCCCTATGGAAAAAATGTAAACAACTATCATTGTGAAACATTTAGTAAATTTCAAGACAATTGTTTTCCAGTTTTTAAATGAATAAATAAAATGTATCGATTTTGTAATACGAAAATAGTGTTATGCTTAAATTTTAGCTCGAATTTTAGTAATTATGAATCTCTTAAAACAGGAACTTGACTTTTCATCAAATTATGAATTTGAAAAGTATGCAATTAAAGTACCCACAGATTCACATCATCGAAATAATAATACACATTAAAAATAATTTAGGTACTTACCAAAAAGCAAAATTCAGTAATTTTTAAATGCACAAGTACAATACAAACTACAACATATGCACAACACTGTAGAAGACCTGAGGAATCGCATAAGAGCTTCCTGTGATGTAATAAGGAACACTGACAACATTTTTGAAAGAGTCCTCACTAATATGAGAAGAAGAGCTGAAGCATGTATCCTTGCAGGTGGAGGGCATTTTCAACAGCTGATGTAATTGTTTGTTTTTTTCGTTTCACAAAATTGTTATTTGTTGATCGTCAATCGTAATTATTAATAATATTAGACAATAATGTGTATAAGTTATCTAGTAAAAGAATTATTTCCATAAAATGTGTAAAAAATACTTCATTCCCGTACAGATAATTATTGTCGTTCTTTATATTTTTACTAAAAAACAGTGCAAGATAAGAAAAAAACTCAAGAGATCTTGTTTATTACAAAATAAAGCACCATTTATACAATAATTTTTGTTTTTCAAAAATGCAGTGGCTTATCATTTTTTTCATTCAAAATAATGAGGTTGAAGTTAATTGGGACACCACTGGTTAAAAATGAAAATTCGTTTATTATGCAAAAGACGTGTCTCTGCACCTAGTTTACACATACTAAGTTTTATAAAACTATCTAATTTAGTTTCGGAGTTATTAAAAAAAAACAATTTTACAAACAGATATTCATCACCCTGTATATCAAAAATAAAGCGAAAACGGACCTATGTTTATATAAACTTTTTGTCTTAAAATCACGCACAGATTAACACCCTTCAATATTGACATCCAATTATGAAACACCTTGTATTCTATCGTCTGTTAAAATTAAGGCAGTCAAACTTCTAACACCCTGTATTTTGAGAATTTCCCACCATTTCCTGAACATTCTGTATATACAACCTTTACTGCAACATTGTTCAATACAAATGATGTGCAAAATAAAAAAATTTAAATATCCAATGACCTTGAGAGAGAACAAAGAGGTTATGTAATGTGCTAAGCAACAAGAGTAAAATACGCTATACAGAAAAAAAAAACTTTTAGGTGTCTTCTAGTTCATTGGTTGTTACAATCAAGGCGAGTGCTATCAAATAAAAAATTAAGAAAATGTGGAACGCCCATTATCTTATCTACCCATTTGACAAATGAATACATAAAAAGGAAATAGACATCTGTAGCGATTATTACCTTTGAGATGCCGGTCCAGGATACATTCTCCTGTGCATCCGTTCCTCATGGGTCTCTCCCCAATGAGTTATATATGGATGTCCTGCAGTTTGAGGGATAGAAGACCGAGCCGGTCTACACGATAACAACTGTATGGCCTCAGCTAAACCGTCTCCGCCCGGTAATATTCCAGGTCCAGACGATTGTGTCGGAAGTGGCGGAGGTGGAGGAACTGCTTCTATATAATGAGAATTAGCAAAATAATTTGAAAAAAAAAAAAAGTTTATCCCCTATAATTTTAATACAGAATAACTACGGAATCAGTTTTTTCGAATTCCATGACTTTCCAGCTAAAAATAGTTTGCAAGTGGAATATTTATTAATTCAATTTCTAAGGAAGCTACTTGAAAAACTAATCCTAAGTAAAATGTAGAAATAGTAAGATCTTTGGCTATTTGGACTTGATGGCTACTTTTGAGAGTTGGTCTTTGTCAAGGAAGATGTTAGAACTATAGGAACAGAAGATATTTCTTTGAAAGAATACAATAACAATATTACAAAAAAATATAAATTGGACGTTTCACGTCAGCAGGCACAGTAGGCTGCCCAGAATAAAGTGTCATCAATATTGATGTTCGACGTGTCAAACGCTTCATATTTGAAAACTCTATTGAAAGCCATCTGATGATTTCGAAAAAACATCATGGCGGTTCCAATATGGCGTCCGCAATCATGGAAAATTCTGTTTAATGAATAACATTGATAGATAAGAAACATAAAATACTGTATTGTAGACTGAATCACCATATCTATACATTTTTGGGGTTGCTGATTTCGAATTCAATGTTCGTTAAACCCCATCTGGTCACTGTTCGTCTCTAACCTTAAAAATACTTCAAATCCTTGAAATAATACTTTTCTACGATGAATAATACAGTTTAACCACCACAATTCATGTTTTCAGGATCGCTGTATCCAATTTTGATATCCATAACTTCAACTAGTCAGAGTTCGTACCTAACCTCAAAAAAATAGTACAAATTGCTAATATTACACTTTTCTACAATTAGTAATGAAGTGTAACCAACACATCTTTATATTTTTGGGACCACTGAATTGAATTCCTACATCCGTTTGAAGCCAACTAGTCACTAGTCGTCCCTAACCTCAAAAAATATTCGAAATCACTAAAATAATACTTTTTCTGGTTGAGTTATAAAGTTTATATCACCAAAATCGCTTAAGTAGTCTATTACAAGTAAAGAAATTAAATTACGTTGCCACTGTTTAGCGATCTTGATTAATTATCCAGGTCAAGGTTTTAGTGGGATAAAGATCAATAAGTAAAAGAACACTATATTTTAAACCATTGCCAACGTTTCGGTGTTATTTTACACAATCCTCAGGGCTCTAAAATACAATGTTTTTTAAAATTCGTTAACATATTAAAATAATTGAGAAAACAAATACATTTACAATTCTAAATTATTGTTCCCGTCACAATTACAATAAACCCGAAAAAGAAAAATTCTAGAAAGCTCCAAAATCAATAACTCACCGAAATTTGAAGCGTCATTTGTCTTATAAGTAATGTTTTAGGTACTGTTTAGCAGGATGACAGTTGACAAATATGTTAATTCTAATGTGCATGCTTCTTTTCCTCTTCCTTTTTTTCCCTTTTTTCTTTTATTTTTTATTTTTTACTTTTCAATTCATCACATTTAGAATTGTAAATGTATGTTTGTTTTTTAAATTATTTTAATATGTTAACAAATTTTATAAAAAAAACTTTGTATTTTAGAGCCCTGAAGATCGTGTAAAATAAACATTGCAATGATTTAAAATATCTGCAATGATTTTAAACATTTTTTCTTATTGATCTTTATCCCACTAAAACCTTGGCTTGAAAGAAATTAAAGTTGATTATTATATCCGATTGATTTGTTATTTACAAAAGTTACCCTCAAGCCGTATAGCACTTCTCTAACACTCTCGTGGTAGTTCCAATATGGCGCCTAAAGATACACATAAAAAACACGAAATATTGGATAGCAACACTCAAGCGCTACTATCTTTCAAAAAGTCTCTGGTACGCTGGTAGACAATTGAAATAGTACAATACCGACATTTATGGCCAAATGACACTTTGATTAGGGTTTTGATCAAAGCATTTTAATGAGATCGTTGACTGAACCCATAGTAAATAAATTTCGAAATAGAATTTGCCGATTCGAATAAAGCTTAGGTACATAAGAATTATCCCGTACTTTCAGTACTTTCGATATTTTTAAACTCAACAGGTTAGACAATAATAAGCTTTTTGTGTTTAATCGGACTGAGAAGACAGAAAGTCTGAATTACCTTTTCTTCACTATAAGATTAAAGCAATTTTGGGGTATTTTTAGGTTAGATAGGAATACCAACAAGTTGATGTTATATGGATATCGGAATTGGACTCAGTGATCCCAAAAAAAAAACATATAAACACGGTGGTCAGGCTTTATTATAGTTTTTGAGATTAGGGACGACTATTGGAATATCAGAATTGGACTCAGCAATCGCAAAAACAAACATAAATATATGGCGGTCAGACTTTAAACTATTATAGTATTCGCATTCTACACTAAAATTGAGTGTAACTTTGTTGAAGTTTTCATTTTATTTAGGAATAAACTTTTTCCTTTTCCTAAAAAGGTGTTATGTTTCCATTTGTTTCGCACATTTTAGGTTGGCCATGACAAGTAAGTAACAATCAACATGGCTTAGGTATATGGAAACTTTAACAAAGTTACACTCAATTTTAGAATACGTTAAAAATTGGGGGTTTCCATTTAAAATTTTCGAGTTTTTCACAATATTCGATCATTTTTTTTTGACCACCTTGTATAAAAACTGGAAAATTTTCATGACAAATCCGATAAATTAGGTCTTTCTCTACAAAATGTACAATTCACACAAAAAATAAACCTGCGTTTCCAGGAAAACTAAATTTTGTTGATAATCTGCATCTACCAATTTTTGCCTAAAAATCAAAATATATCGAAAACGGTCAATCCTAAGTACGGAGTGTGTATATGGTTTCAATTTAAAAACAAATGCTCTTTCCAAAAATGCAATACTATACAGGGCGTTCCATTTGAAATAATAAGAAAGTTAGTATGGACTTCTGGTATAAGCGGAAGTACGATGAAATATTTTAGCTTGGTAGGCCCCATGGCCTGTATCACACCACCACAATTTCAAAAAAATCCTTAGAGCGGATTCCTAGATATCCATCGATTGAGTTCGTGGAGAGACTTATACACCAGTGACATTTTTCTATACTTTTTTTATTACAAAACTTGTTGACACTTCCCGATTTTACGATTTTCTAAATTTCTAGCAACCCCATAAATATGTTGACTAAAACAATTTTTCAATCTACATTCCTTACCTGGAGTGGTACTTCTGCTTCTCTCTTGAGAGTTACCTGGGGGAACAATCAACTTAGATGGCAAGTATCTTTGTTGCCACGGTCCCCCCTCGTTCCAAGCCGTATCCCACGGCATCGACCACCTACGCATAAGACCCTCCCCGCTGTCCCCTGCTGCTTCCACCGCAGCCGCCTCCGACCATCGTCTTTGGCAGTTCAGTGGAAATAAGGGAAAATGTAAAGGTGACCTAGAACCACGTCCAGGAAAAGGAGACTTCATAGTGTGTAATTGGCCAGGAGTCGGAAAAGGTCCTAAAATAACAATGAAAAATAGCCGTTAGTTAATAATAGTTAGGCATTATAATAACTGCCATATAGTTACTACGCAGACACATTATACATATACAGTGTAGGAAAGTACCGATGGTCTATCAGAAGTTACGTGAGAGCGATAAAGTAAGCCATAGAAATCCATGTGATAGACAAGGATGGCTATAATGAAGGCGTCTAATAGTCAACGCCCATTTCGCCCTTCCACAAATAAGAAGTGGATCTTATCTACTTTCCTACCCTGTACACAGTGTCCAAGATATATTCAAAATTCAAATTCAGTCATTCCTAGGACATGGAACTATGGTTCATCTGAAAGATCGTTAAATTTTAAGTAATTTTTGTAATATAAAGTTTTTCCCAATATTTACTTGTTTTCGAGACATGTCGACTTCAATATGCAATGTATGATGTAACAGGAAAATCTATTATTTTATTAAAATCACACTGAGACAAAATATTCTTTTAAAATATTGTTATAATGGCTTTATTCACACTACATACTAACTAACAAACAATGAATTTAAAAAAAACGAATGATTTACTACAGAAACAAAAAAAATTGTACAATGGTAAATCTTATAAGGCAGAAACGCACCGTATTTTATCAAATGTTTTAAAAAAATGCAGTTATATCATTTGTTTACAATAAAACATGTATGACAGATGACACATGTTAGTTTTCCAATAATTACAGTTTTATCAGCTTGCGTCTTTCAATTTAACTATACTAGTTACAAAGATTTACCATTGTACATTTTTTTTAATGTAGTTGATCATTTGTTTTTTTATAATTTATTATTTGTCAGTTAGTATGTGGTGTGAATAAAACCATTATAACAGTATTTTAAAAGAATATTTTGTCTCAGTGTGATTTAAATAAAATAAAATATTGGGAAAAACTTTATATTACAAAAATTACTCAAAATTTCACGATCTTTCAGGTGGACCACATTTCCATGTTCTGGGAACCAATAAATTTTTTAGTATCGCCACGTCATCTACAGGGTGTTTCAGTTCAAGTGAATCAAACTTTAACCATAACTAGAACTCAATAAATAATTCAGAATTGCTTTATAAAGCAGGGGTCTAAGTCTCACCATTTTCACTGTACAGGTTAGATTTTAAAATCACATTATTTATGAAATCTTTGTTATGCTTATAATAAATTGATTCAAATTTGGTGTGGTGTTAACATTTATATATGTGCATAATTTACTGCAAAATGTACAAATTTTTGTAGGTCAGTGGCGGAGGAATGTGTAGTAAAGCGGGATTTTCAGTAAAATGACACACTATACCGATTTTCAACAAATATACCTTTTTTATGTAGAATTGTCCACAGAAACTAAAAATGAATCCTATATGATTATTAGGTCATACTGCCCTTTCCTACGCCACTGACCTACAAAAATTTGTAAATTTTACAGTAAATTATGCACAAGTGTAAATGTTAACACCACACCAAATTTGAATGGATTCGTTATAAGCATAGCAAATATTTCATAAATATGATTTTAAAACCGACCAATACGGCCCTGTACAGTAAAAACGGTGAGACTTAGACCCTTGCCTTATAAGGCAATTCTGAATTATTTCTCAAGTTCTACTTGTGGTTAAAGTTTGATTCAGCCGAACTGAAACACCCTGTATATAGAAAGATTTGAACGAACAGTTCTAACTAAAATTTGAAGCTATTCGAGGGACCTAACAACCTCAGTTTCCGGAACTAAAATAAATTTCTTCATTTCGGATATATTGGCAGCGGGAATGTTAAATGGCACACCCTGTATATACTTGTACCAGTGGCAGAGGTACCAGACATTATTTTTAGTGAAAGCCCCAAATATTCAAGAGTATTGGATATTTTGAAAATTCTACCAAGACTTTTTATTTCTTATATATTTCTATACCTAAGGTAATAACTACAACTACTCGATTTGTTTTTATTTTTTTGCCAAAATACATATACAGAGTGTATCCTAAGTCTATGTCATAAATTAAAGGAGCGATTCCTTGAATAATTTTAGGCCCAAAAGCCTTAATAAACCAAAGCCTAAAGTTACTGGTTTTCAAGATAATTAGAGGGCATTAAAGTTTTTGAAAAATATTTTTATCTCTGAAGTTGTTTGTCGTAAATTGACGAAACTTGGGAAATAATGCAACAAATTAAAGGGAATAATTTGGTATATTTCTATATTAGTCTGTGAACCAGTGGCAGAGATTCACGGGAGCTTTGTCATTAAAACCCTCAGAAAAAATACTCCACTGGAGTTTTAGAAAAATTAACAAACGCGTTTAATTTACTGTTATATTTTTAACAAAAAAAAAGTCTCCTGCATTTTCTTCACAATAAACCATTTTGAAGTTATAATTTTTTTTGTTCATATTTAATTTTATTATCTTTTCTTATTACATTAAAAAATGATATTAATTAAAAAAAAACTGGTTTTGGCTGACGTGTAATTATAATCATCAATAATTTAAATAAATAGTAGGCTGCAAAGTACAAGTTATAGCGCGGATATGTAACAAACCTCTCAAGTTTTCAAGAGTGCCAGGTGCTCGTGCTGCTTCCGAAAAGCCGTGAATAGGACTTTGGCCTCGGTGAACAGCTTCAGAATAAGGCGAGTGTCCTCGAGCTTCGGCCAGAGGACTCTGCTGTCTTGGAGCTTCGCCCTTTGGAGTGTCCAGGCTCTTAGGACTATCTGTGCTCCGATCTGTCGGCAGATGAGGACTGGACCTCTGAGACGACATTTCGTGGGGATACAACTTATTAAAGCATTGTTGCAAAGCTGCTAATGTGCAATCCGAGTTATGAATACCACCAGGGGCAGTATGGCAGGAAGGACACATTGCCATAGAACCAAAATTTTCACATCCAGCTATGGAAAACTGGTAATGGAGATTAATAAAAGTCAAGAGATTCTCTGTAATAATTTGTTGATTGTGTTCTTGTTGCCTCTGAGCATCGCCTTCGGTAAAGGTGTCTCCGATGCTCATATCTTGCATTGCTGCAGCTATGTGGGTCTTTACTGAATTGCTTGCAAAAACTGTAGATTTTGTCAATTCTTCCCAACTTGCCTGGCATTGTAAAGCTAGCGGAATGTTTTGGATTTGAGATAAATTCGTTAGGGACTGTGAGAGGCGCAATCCAGCTGAGCACATGTTATTTAACATCTGAAAATCGAAAAGCTTTACTAATCAGTCAAGCGGTTGATTTTATAGGTTTAGTTTTGTCTAACGGAAAATTTCTCACACTGAGGAAGTAGAATTTTACTTAAATACGTAAACGTAATTAAATATATTAAACATACTTGTAAGTAATAAATCCAACTGTTTAAACAATCCGCTGCAGCTAACTTCAATGCATTTGGGCTAAGAGGTTGCTGAGCTTCTTCAGTAGTCTTTTTATCCCTATTTTCTGGGTCTGTGGACTCTGACATGCCACTAGGGCCAGCCTGTTGCAAGTCTCTATAACATTAAATTAATTAAATTTCTATAGTATACTACATAATTCTAATTACCTGTCCATTTATTTAAATTTAAAATTGTAGTGTTTGTATCGGTCAGCTCCCCATGAGTAATTATATAAAAATAGAAAGACAACGTTAACCGTTAACGTAAAATAAATAAAACAAACGTCAAACCATATTATTGTTTCTGTCAAAAAGTCAAAAGGGTCAAACAGCCCCAGCAACAACGAACAATTCTGAGGAAATGGCGACATCTATTCAAAAGCCATTGCAGTAGAAGTTGGAAACGTCAGATATCTTTTATATTCGAATCCCTTAGTTCCCCAATTTTCCAAAGCTATCCATTCGCCGATACAGGGTGAACCACTTTGGTCTACAGTAAATTGTACCGTATTTTTTACATATACAGGGTGTTATTTAAGTACGTGGTCATACTTCAAGGGGTGATTCTTTGAGTGATTCTAAGACGAAAAGTTTATATAAACAGAGGTTCGGTAATGCTTCGTTTTCAAGATACAGGGTGTCAAACTTTTTTAAAAATACCTACTTACCTATCGTTTTTTCGTTAAAATCTTAATAATCTTCCAGGTGACCTTAGATAGCTAAGTTATCCCCGAATTCAGGTTCAGCGATACCAAAAGCATTGTGCCTACTGGTCAAAATTCATTACATGCCTCAGTTTTTGAATCCATCAACTTGAATCTTTGTGAAGCTTACTCGGTCCTACAGCCAAAATCACATACTTCCCCCCTCTTTATCTCTGAAACTATTCATAGGATCACTTTGGGCCCATGAAAACTTTTGATCAGAAAGTAAAAAACTATAACATACTGCAATTTCAGCAAAATCGACTGGGACCCATTTTCTATTGATTTTGCGTGGGGTTCTTTTTAGCATCCTTAAACAAACTGTTTTCTTGCTGGAACAACATTTAAAGAGTTACACATATCTTTGCACTTAAAGTCGTTAAGCCGAGTAAAAACCGTTTTTTTAATGAATTTAGAAGCAGTAGAACCCTAAATTCAAATTTGTCCAGAGCGTTAACCAGAAAATAATAATTTTCACAAAAAATGAGAGATGTCATAATACAACACTAAGTAGAAGAGAACAAATTTTGTAATATTTTGAATGTGTTTTTAGGGCAAATGTCCTTCAGCACGTTAATTCCAATGTGGATGGGTCTTCGTCTGCTGAATACAGTAGAATCGGTACCTACGGTACTGAAGCTACTAGGTATTGTCACTGCTAGTTGCTCCTGAAATTGTTCCGGGGCAGTGGAGTTAATTTCATCTTCCGCCCGATATCCTTCTCATCTTGCTCCTGATTTTCTTCGTAGGCTTGATCCAAAGTATGCACGTGGATACCTGGGTTTATCTGTATACGCCGAGAGCACGTGGTGTTTGCCTATGTCGGATATTTTTAGCGGGAAATGTGTGTTTGTTTTTGTGAGGTGTACTAGAGGATTTACCTGTGAAGGTGTAAATTGGGCAGATACGTGACGGCATCATGGCTTTGTGCGTTTTAGAAGAATAAGAAAACTAGCAAGTTTGTAAATGAGCTATAGATAAGAAGTTATTTTGGTCTAACCTATTGACTTTCATTATCATTTGAATTGACAAATATGTTTGTTATGTTCAAACTATAATAACTGGTTATTTTTTATTAGGTCTATTTATTTTTTGTGGGAGTTTATACTTGCGAGAGTAATAAATAACAAACAGATTAAATACATTAGTGTCTTATATTTTAAATGTAAGTAATTTTGTCACATTATATTTTATAGTAATTTTCTAAAATCATGGGTATTCATTATGGTGTCATTTTTTCATTATTTCTTTGTAGAGGTATTTGATGTATCTACGATTTTCAACATCAGTCTCTCCCTAACACTGAGAGCATTGTCAGCATTGACTGGTACAGGCATGGTAATGAATAACACCACTTGATAGGGTACATTCATAGCGAAAAGTCGCGGATTCAGATTCAGATAGACGCTAAAGACACAAACAACAACTATACCCACATATCATCGTACTGCTATGGTCACGCATATGTTTTAAATTCCATAGCTGTTGCTCGTGTCTCTAACCTCTATCTGAATCTTAAGCCTCGACTCTTTCTTGGGTAGGGACCAGTCGAGCGAGTATCCTAGCTCTCATTCTCTCCATCACCGTTTCGGTATCCTCATCATCCTTTAACGTTTTACTTGTTGAAGACAACTGAATTAATTTCATTCAACGTTTTTATACTTATTTTCTAATTCAGTAGAAATTGAAACTCGATGAATTTATAACCAATTCCTGTAATTTCAGAGTAACAAACATATTTATCTAATTCCAATGATAAGGTTAATAGATCAAACCAAAATAACTCCTTATCTGCAGTACACTTACAAACAAATCACTAATTTTCATCCGCTTCTGCTAAATACACACATAACCAGTCCACAAGAACAACATACGCATACACACATATTTCACATCAAAAATACTCCTGATTGGTCAACACGACATGCTATTCACATATTCCTCAATGCTTCCGCGGACATATGCCATCAGCAGTTGTGACGTCAGAATGGTGTAGAATTATTACAGTGTATCTACTTTCTTCATTGCTAAATCAGCTTTCAGTATTTGATAATCATTTTGTTTATCTTCAGTTACCATTCTTAAAACTCCATAGCTTTATCCCATAGATCTATTATTAGCGCTGCTGTATTCTCTGTATTGGACCACTTATTTGAAGCCTAACACCTTTCCATCAAAGTTTGGCCGATCTATTCTAAAGAATAAGAGGGGATTATTTTCAGCCTCAAAACTGTGTAAATTTCTTTTTCATATTTGGATTTAATTTTGTAATTTAAATATACCTTTTTCCACGACTGCGACTTTGCTTTGCATCTCACTCTTCTTTTAAATAATTTGTTCTTCAACAGTTTCTTCTAAATCTTTGAATTTATCTTCAAGCAATTCTTTTAACTTACCTATAATTTTTCTGCAAACAGTTATTTATTTCATTTCCTTTTTTAAACCTTTCTTCAATTCATTTTGGTCATTCCTCATATCTTTCACCATTCCTTGTACCATTTTGTTTATTCTTCAATTATTGCAAACTATTCCTCATGTCTTCTTCATTGCCTTTTAAACTTCCCTTCAGTTTATTTTGGTTACTCCACATAGCTTTCATCATTTCGTGAAGTTTCCTTCACTTCTATAAATAAGCATTCACTTACTCTCGAACTCCAAAATTATTTCTTGGTGGAAGATCCCACTTCTGACACCAATGTGACTACAAACTAAACTTTTAAAATTCATTCGTCTTCGATTTTCTTTGACTCTGACGTCTCAATTTTTCACGTTTGGTGTTCAGAACTGACTATCACCGAAATCGAAAATATTCGAATTAAACAGGATGATTCAAAAAACTGCTGACAGACTGCTAGGGTAGGTACTACATGAAAAATTAATAAACATAGGGTCGCAAATGCCTCCTTAACGAGATACAGGGCGTCAAAGTTTCTGTAAAATTAAACATTGTATGCAACAATTCCAAAATGCCTGAACATTTATATTTCAAATTTGCTATGCGTAGTTAGACCTTAAGACCAATGTTTGATGTACTGCTCAAAATTTTATGATCAGCAGTGTCGTAGAGACGGGGTCAACGTGACCCTTTTTTAAAAATATTTTCTGCGCCACTGCTAATTTTGTCAGATGAACACTACTTTCGTATAAAGTGTTCAATGGTCTATCGAATTGGTCTCTTGCAAAATTTTGATTAAAACTACAGTTTTTGAGTAATTTAGGTTTCAAGTAATTTTGTCATAATGAAATAACGTAAACAATAAACAAATAATGTAAAATATCAGAGTAGGTGCTGGAAGTGACCATCTTGTGATTTGACACACGTTTCTACCCTCCGAGCTAAGGATCTTCTTATTCTTTCAAAAATCCCGGGCGTATTACGAATTGTTTGAAAGGCTTGTTGAATTTGTTGCCATAATTCATTAATTGAATTTACTGGAGTTACGTAAATCAGCTCCTTAACATGACCACAAGTGTGGAAATCCAGAGGATTTAAGTCGGGTGAACGGGCGGGCCACTGGATTGGATCACCACGTCCAATCCACCGTCTAGGGTAAGTCACATTTAAATAATCTCTTACTTGTCGAGCGAAATGTGCCGGGGCGCCGTTATGATGGAACCAAAGGCTCCTCTGCACATTCAGTGGTACTTCATTTAACAAGCTGGTCAAATCATTTATTAAAAAAATAAGACAAGACTGGCCATCTAGTCTATTTGGTAGCCTAAAGGAACCAATGAGCGTGTCGCCAATAATGCCAGTATGAACGTTAATTGAAAACTCATGCTGAAAAATTGCTATTCGAATGACGTGAGGATTTTCGTCTCTCCATAAATGATTATTGTGGAAGTTAATTATTCCTCGTCTCGTAAACGATTCATCTGTGAATAAGATATTCGCGGAAAAATTGGGATTCTCTGCAAGCCTGCCAAGTACCACTCTAGTCTTGATGGGTAATCTTGAGGTAGTAAATGTTGAACAAGTTGGAAGTGATAAGGATGCAATTGTTGTTCGCGAAATGTTCTCCAAACAGATGACTGTGATATGTTTAAATTTCTAGAAATTTGTCGGGTACTTAACATATTATTATTTTCTATTGCTGTCAGGACCATTTCCTCAGATTCCGGAGTTCTAGCATAATGCCGTCGTCCAGAATTATTTTTTGTTGCTGTTAATTTACCTATTTCTCTTAATCTTCTATCGATATTATAAAACATTTGCCGATTTGGTGTTCTTCGTGCAGGAAACATTTCTCTGTAACTGCATCACGGGAAACAAAATTAGCTAGCCCATAACATAGATGCATATCTGTCATCTCTTCAAATGAATATTCGTAATTTATACTGTTATTGAAAACAGTGAAGTAGCTGAAGTACTTTATATAACCGTAAAAATTAGAAAAAAAGCTTATAAGCTAGTTTACTTAACTCACTTGTACACTTATTATTGAGATTAGTGACAAGCGAATGTTTAATTTTATTTTGAATAGCACAAGCCTTCTTTGTGAAAGTAAAATGAATGAAAATAAAATTGGATTCACAAATTTTCCACAAACGTGTTTTTCTTAAAAATGGTTGCTTTAATCAAAATTTTACAGGAGGCCAATTCGATAGACAATTGAACACTTTACACGAAAATAGTGCCCATTTGACAAATTTAGCAGTGGCCTAGAAAATATTTAAAGAAAGTGTCACGTTGACCCCGTCTCTACGACACTACTGCTCATAAAATTTTGAGCAGTACATCAAACATTGGTCTTAAGGTGCTAACTACGCATAACAAATTTGAAATAGAAATGTTCAGGCATTTTGGAATTGTTGCATACAATGTTTAATTTTACAGAAACTTTGACGCCCTGTGTTTCGTTAAGGAGGCATTTGCGACCCTATGTTTACTAAGACTTTTCGTCTTAATTTTTCATCTGTTGCCTACACTAGAAGTCTATCAGCGGTTTTTTTAATCACCCTGTATATACACTTTTTCATACCAGAAATTTTTCGGCTTTCGTAGAAAAATAGTGCAGTTATATTTGCAGTGTGGTATTTTTTTATACAAGAGTTATTAACAGGAATATGTTTAGGTATCTATTTTTTACGTTCAGTTTATGTTTTTTTAATTATATTTTCCTATAAATCCCGTTTAGATTTAGCTTTAGGTACCATGCATTAATCTATTAATTAACATTTTATTAAAAACGTTGGTTTTATTTTAAACAATGATATTTGACGCCCTGTATTTCAAAAGGGAAGGCTCCATATATCAAGCTCTCATGCCACTTCCCACCTATGACAATAAAAATAACCGTTATCTAGGTTTGTTTTGTATCAACATCGTTACATCTTGGTGCCCATGACGTCATCAATTCCCCACATCACCTGTCCAATTTACCTCAAGAATTAAATGGTACAAGAGAGGTAACGTGTCTGGGTCCGTTGGTGCTTTCATTATTGTTCAGTTCGCGGCTAAGATCGCGCGCATTCTACCAGAAGAACAACCGTCGCGAGTTTACTATGAGATAAACAGGTGGATTTCCAAGTGACTGTAGTAACTATTTGTGTTCTTAAATGTGTTGTTATAGAAGTAGAAATGTGGTCTACCAAATGTTTAAGCCAAAGGCCTAGATATAGTGCTCTAGTGATCGTTTTTCTTGGATTTATTAATGAGATCGTTTGTCAAGGTAAGATACTTTTACTTAAAAATAAGTCAGATCCCGAGAGGATGCATCCTCATAAGTCAAATGCGGAAAGATTTTTTTACTTCTTAGAATATATTCGTAGTCTCGTAGATATTTATCTATATATATAGGTCAAACCGAAAATATCAAAGGGTGTTTAGTACGTCATATTATTTATAAACTTTCTTAGAAGCTGGTCATTAATTTTGCAAGGATACATTTCAAATGATAAATCCAGTTATTTAGATTACATTGGACATTGGAGGTCTTTTAAACGTATTTTTTAATTAGATTATACAAATTTTGTTTATATTTCACCTTTTAATATTGTCTTATAATTTTTTTACTCAACTTATTTACTTGTTTATTTCAATATATAATTCGGTGAACTGGAATCTCGCCTACGCGCCTATTAAAGTCTCCAATGATTCTGTCCAGTTTACAAACTTCTGTCAGTTAAATTTTATGAAAATAGTTAAATAACGACATACCAAATAAGTAAATAGTTAAATATATTTTTGTAATCAAGTATCCACTCAGTTCATACATGCTTAGTTCACGAATATTAATATAAATAATGCAACAAATGAGTATTTTTGCATAATCTCATTATACAGAGTGATTCATAAACGCTGACTGAGAATGAAACCTTGTATTCTTTGGTGAATTTTAAGGGGAGTCTTTCGTATAAAATTTTTGTCTAGGACGCTTCGTTAAAAAGATACAGGGTGTTAAACTTAAAGAAATATTTTAAATTTTTATAATTCATTTAAAAACTAGTAAGTGAAATATTTTGAAATTGGGTACATGTATTTATGTAAACATTATCCAAAATTTGAGGCCTTTTTCTAAAATTTTAAAATATTCCAGTGGCGGAGATACATCAGGGTATCGATAACATATTTTTCTATATAAAATAGTACGCCACTGCTTTACGATAACAATCATGATATTTTCGGATTCGTCTTTCAATTTTGTATAAATTACTACTTTCTTACGTTTTTCGAATAGACTGATTTTTGAGTGAAATTTAAAAAACTAACTGAAAACACTTTTACTTAAATGATATGACAAACACTAATTTATTATAAGAAATTAATAACATTAGTCATCATTTTAATTATTTTATTTGAGTACATGCTCAAAAATATCTCCATTTCCACGAAAACAGACCTGACATCTTTTTAGTAAGGAAAATGTAATTTATCCGAAATTTATTTATTTATTTATTCTTTTTTCTAATTCCTCAGGTCTATTAATTTGTTCACTATATACCAGCCGTTTAACAGCACCCCACAAGAAGAAATCCAGTGGGTTCAGATCCGCTCTTTTCAGTTCGTTTTTTAAGTTTTATTCGAAAATCAGGCTTTTTTAGAAAAACATAAGAGAGTCTAGTAATTTGTAGAAAATTGAAAGACGAATTCGAAAATATCATGGTTGTTATACCATTTGTTTTATTTAGATAAATATACCACCGATACCCTGTATCTCCGCACTGGAACATCTAAATTTTAGGAAAAAGCTTCAAATTTTGGATAATGTTTACATAAATACATGTGCCCAATTTAAAATTATTTCACTTACTAGTTTTTAAATTATTTAAAAAAAAAATGAAAATATTAACACAAGTATCTTTTTAACGAAGTGTCTTAGACAAAAATTTTATACGAAAGATTGCCCTTAAAATTCATCAAAGAATACGAGGTTTCATTTTTGGTCCCCGTTGTGAATCACCCTATATTTAATTTTTTTATTACTATTTTTAAATAATTACTATAATTACATTTTAATTGTAAATATTGACACAGCTGATCTTTTTTCTCTTAACTTAAATAAAAAAATATCTGATCTGATCTGGTTCTACAATAATTAAATCCTAAATATCACTAAATCACTAATTATATCAAATTTTGACTTCTTTTATTTAAAATTAAAAATAAAATCTTGAAATATGGTTTATTGGGAATAAAAAGATCTTTATTGTACTTACATTATTTTATAACATATTGAATTAAAGTAGATTTACTAGTTTTTTCATATATTTTGAGACGTATTCCTTTTAAGTAGATCACCATACAGTATTTGAAATTCTGTTTTTCAGACATACTTGTAATCTATCTGTTTCAGTTAAAATACATTCGTAAATATTTGTTTCAGAATTCTTCAAATTAAAGACAAAATATATCTGATTTATAAGAAGTCTTTTTGGAGTTATGGGTTTATCTCGAGCTCTAAAAAACTATTTCATTGCATTTAACATTTGCACTATGATTTAAGTCGAAGCTGAATGGTGAAAAGTATAAAACTACACTTCTAAAAATATAGCTTATTGTTGAATTGAAATATTCATGATGACGCTCATTTTGACTTCGCTGTGACTTGTACAGCAACTTCCACTATCCAAAAATTTTTTTAATTGTGTAATTCAGAACTTAGAACAATAGTAGCGTGCATCATTATCTGCACACAATTAATAGAAAGTATAGCAATCTGTTAAGTGACTTGCGGTCTATATTAATATGAACATGTGAGCTATCTATTTTGGTCCTATTTTAAGAAAAAAAAAGTTAGAAATGAGCGTTAATGGTTACTTACTGTCATTTTATTTTCTAACGACTGCTTTAATCACAAAATCTTTTTTAATTATGTTATATTATTTTGAATGCTCCATCAAATGTGACATGGAAACTGTTAAGTTAACCTAATGAGAAATGTTATTTGTCATCAAGTTTGTCAGAAACATATTATTGTCACTTACGTAGTACCACATTTATATTTCTGCCTTCAAACTTATACATTAAGTTTAATATTTCAAAGTCCACAAAAAATCATATTTTCGAATGCATCCTATAAAAAAATCACTATCAGATTAAATACAAATATTCATTTTAAAAAATAATTATTGACAACCACCTGCCATTAAGACAGGCTTTGAAAAAAGGATATTTTATGACATTTTGTACCTACTACCATATAAGTTTCGGTAGCAGCTAACCAAATTCAAAAGTTTTCTTTTCTCAAATGACTTATTTATGTGTTTTTTTTGGAATAATTTAATGTGCTAATGTCCTATTGTACAGTACATAAGAACAATGTGAACATGCAATTTTTTTCAGAGATAAGTAGTAATTAAGTTGTTTTCTGTTTTTGTGAACTGAAAAAAAAAACGTAAAACATTTTAAAATAGACAATTAAATAGGATTGAATAATTATTTTAAGACAGTGAGATAACAAATACCTAAATCTACGTGTATCTATTCTTTTTACTTTACTTTAAAACTATTAAGTTAATTCAAATTAATTTTAAAAGAGGAAGAAAATTCTAGGAAAGCTAAAGGAATAATTTCATAGGCAAGCTAGTGACTAATATTTATCTAAAATAAGAATAATCTCGCCAAAACGTACGAACGAAAATCCTGAAACATTGAAATTATTAAATAACAGTGTAAACTTTCATAGAAATTCACTCTGGGCAACAATTATTGTTATTGCTTCTATTTCAAAATGGAATTACTACATATCTCAATATTAATGAATATTAAATCATACAGAGTGTCCCGGTACTTGATACAAAAAAGTCGAGTACAAATAGATGAGCTCAAACTAATATCAGTTCTTCATAATAATATAATTTCTTTTCATACGTGCCTTCGTTAAAAAGTTACGGGCCCTCAAAGGTGAAATTTAAAAAGATATTTTTATTTACAGTCTACACTATTAACTTCAGCATAAGGCAAATTTGGCAATCGATAACACATGCGTACAGCTTGTTTTTGATGTTGTAAATGAAACCAAATGGTTAACAACCCATAATTTTTGTATAGGTGAGGATCGAAATCTGCCTCTATTACAAATAAGTTCCTTGAAGAATTTGTCAAAGATAATACCCACTTGGTTCAACACGGTAAAATTAACAGTTTAGGAAATATTTGTGATTTTATGTCACACTTCACATCTAGTGGCGCCTCCACCATTTTTTTGTTTTTGAAAATTTTGAAACAAAATTTGACAAAACAAAACAAGAATAAGTTAAGTTAAAAAATAATTTAAAAGAAAGAAGACTATCAAATTACATTTTCAATATGGGGACCACTTCCTAAGTCTGCGAATCTTATTTATTTGTGCACGAAAAAGCATTTCTGGGGTAATAATTTAATAGGTCCATACGTTTTTAAGGAATGTGTGAATGGACATCGATGTTTAGAGTTTTTGCAAAATAATTAGACACCCGAAGAAACGTCAGTTTCAGTCTTGACGTACGAAATTATTTATTCATTGTGTTTAGTAATAAATGGATTGGGAGAGGAGGCGCAATTTCATGGCCACCACGTTCTTCAGACTTTAACCCGATGGACTTCATCCTGTGGGGATACCCGAAAAGTTTAGTGTACGCAACCCCAATACAGACAAGGAATAAATTGCTATAAATAATTAATTTCCATTGTGATAATATTAGACATACCCCAGAAATGCTTTTTTGATACAAACAAATAATATTCGTAGGCTTAGGAAGTATGGATGTGTGCCCATATTGAAAATGTATTTCGATAGTTTTCCTTATTTTAAATAATTTTTTTAACTTACTTTAACTTATTCTTGTTTTCTTTTCTTTTTTGTGTTATGTATAGTGTTTGTCAAATTTTGTTAGTGAAAATTACATTATCAGACAGATTTTCTAGGCTCTTATTTTAAAAATATTTACGGTTCTAACTTATTTCCGATACAGGCAGATTGCGATCGTCATCTATGTAAACATTCTGGGTTGTTAACCATTGGGCATAGTCCGTCCCTCGCGTTCTGGGCATAATCAAGTTTCACTTACAACATCAAGTACAAGCTGTATGTATGTGTTATCGATCACCAAATTTGCGACATGCTGAAGTTAATAGTTTAGAGACTGTAAATAAAAATAGCTTTTTAATTTTCATCCTTGAGGCCCGTCACTTGTTAACGAAGGCCCGTATGAAAAAAAAATATTAGGAATTAATATTATTTTGATCTCA